AATTGAGTGGTGGTGGTCCATATCCAGAAATAAATAATATTTCCATCACTCTTACACAATGCAAATAATACACAGATGATTCAAGTCTCATTTTCTATTACACCAAGTTTCTAGCTTATTCACTACAGCAGAACTTTCCACTTATAAGCTAGGTCTAGTTAAAGGCCTCGCATGGACTACTTTCCAAAAAATATTATACTATACTTAAAAAAAAACAAGAATAAAAAATATCTAGTGACCATTCATCATCCTTAAGTTCCGGTCGAATTTAGGCATCACAATGGAGACTAATGGACTTTCTCTGTGTGATTCCACTCCAAAGCCTCCCATCACCGTGCGGGCTTAGGCTATCGTATTCTTGGTTGGTATAACCGTATTCTTCTTCTTCTTTTCTATTTATTTGTTTATTGTATTTGGGTTTCAGAGTGCACTTGCCTTCTCCTTCCAAACCACCAGTGATTTAAGAAACTTCATCACCTGTAACATTAAAAGTCAGCAACCCTTTAATATGTTTCAAAATCCAACCTAGTCAAGATATAGAATGTGGACAAAAGACCACTAACATAATCCTAGGGGTGTTAAATCGGTCAGTTTAATGCTGTTAATAAATCGAACCAAACCATATAAAATTCATTAATCAATTTTTTTCCTTTAACTTATTAACCAAATTGAAATTTAGTTTGAAATTTTTTAATCGAACTGAACAAATTTCGATCAATTCAGTCAATTAATTAAATTAACCGAAATTTATAAATAATATATATTAAATATTTAATATTTTTGTTAGATCAATTAATTTGGTCGATTAATTTGATAAAATTGAAGTTTAAACACTCCTAAAATTAAATAATATAAAAAATATATAAAAATATTTAATAATTTTTTATTAATTCGGTCAATTATTCAATTTCAAACAGAATTAATTGATAATAAAAGTTTAAAAAATTATTAATCGTTAACCAACAAAGCTTAAAATTAATTGTCTGACTAACTGAAAAAACTTAGATTCCAGATAGTTAATTAAGTTAAAATTAAAGTTTGAACAACACTTCGTATACGTATCTAATGCATTTTATTCCCTCACTTTGATGTTTTCTCAATTGAAGAAATTGACACTTCTATTTGTATCTATCACACAACATGCAAGCATCTCTACCCCTAGAGACCAAAAGAAAAAAAGGTACCTCGTGTGGATCCTTGAGAGAGAAAAAATGCGTTGCTCTCCTTGGGCACAGATGAAACCAAGATGCGATATCCACGGTTTCCCTCTCTTAGAACCTGTGTTATATAAACCAATGAAATTGCTTCTCTTAAATATTTTTTATAAGGAAATCTCAGGAATATCAAAATACTTATCATCATTTATATCTTACCTTAAACGCATCTTCTTCCGTTTGGTCATCGCCAACATAAATCGGAAGCAAATCGTCACAATTGTCAAGCCCTAAACCATCTGTTTTTTAAGCATTGAGAACTATGACAATATACAATGTGTGCATGCGCACACATAGGTTAAAGACCGTACTTACCAAGTGATTCAAGTAGAAATGTAACAGCTTTCCCATTATCCCAATTGATCACAGGCCGAACCTCTAAAACCTAATTATGAAAATATATATTTTAAATGACACAAACAGAAGGTATATAAAAGTTAATGAGAAAAGAAACATATTGTCTTTAGAGATCACCTTCCGTCCATGAGTCAATCGTAGACGAGGGTAGTTTCTGATGACATCATGGACGCATTGTGCAACTGTTGTCCAATTCTGAACATAAAAAATGGCCTTCAAGTTAATACTTAATCATGCAAAGAAAACACACTGAAGAGTAATTCCAAACATAGAGGCCATCAATGAATAACAGTAATTTTAAGTTGTAATTTTGTTGTTTAAATTGTAGTTTTAATATTAAAAAGAAGGCGTTGTTCCAAAATCGCGCCTTCTCAAAATTTGAAAATTAAAAAATGGCGCTATTTCAAAACGGTGTCTTTTATTTTGCTTTTTTGGATTTTTGGAGGAAGATATTCTCATGATAATGCCTTCGTCCCCAAATTCTCACATAGGATGAAGACGTGCATTCGTGAAAGCGCCTTGATTCTCTGTGGCACAATACATGTCATTTTGGGAATTAATGTTGAATGGATGATATTTTAATAATTCAATTTTTTAGGTATTATTTTAATAATTTCGTAAAAATTCTCCCACCTTCTCGTCCACGTTTCGGTAATGGACAGAGACACAAAATTTGTTGTTTTCGACATTTGCACCTTGAATTTCTTTGGTACTATTGACGAGTGAGTTAAAAATCTGAATGAATGAGAAATCTAAATTAGAACAGAGAGGAAAAGAGCGGGCATTACGCCATGTACGACTATGGCTAGGGCTGTAAAATTGGGTAATCGTTCAGGTTTCAGTTAGATATTGACAGGTTGGGTAAAATCGAATACAGGTCAAGTCAGGTAAATTTGACACCAGATCCAAATCGGGTTCAGTTCAGGTCATTTTCAGTTCGGATCGTTGCCAGTTCAGGTCTGAAGCAGGTTAATTTAGGTTCGGATGGACTTCAGACGGATCTTGTTTAGATCGGGTCACATCATTGGCAGATAAAATTCAGGTCTGATCTCTATCAAATACGGATTGAGCTCAAATCGGGTTAATTTTTATTTTTGGATTAATTATTTTCGTCTTTCGCGAACGTTGAATTGCAATTTGTAATTGTATATGATTTAGAGTAAATAAGAATATAAATAATCATTGTTCAATTTTATGAAAAATACAAATTTAAGAATTAAATAGATAAAATTCAGGTCTGATCTCTATCAAATACGGATTGAGCTCAAATCGGGTTAATTTTTATTTTTGGATTAATTATTTTCGTCTTTCGCGAACGTTGAATTGCAATTTGTAATTGTATATGATTTAGAGTAAATTACTAAGAATATAAATAATCATTGTTCAATTTTATGAAAAATACAAATTTAAGAATTAAATTGAACAAATATGAAATTACAAATAAATTTTTTTATAAATTAAACAACACACATTGATGAGGGATCAAATCGAAATAATTTTAAATTGTGAGGTTGAAATTAATACAAAAAAAACTAAATTATACCCATTTAAAAAGTTATGGGTCAATTAAAAAAATAGAATTAAGTAATAAATATGGATCAATTTCATATGCAAATAAAATTTGGAGGACTAAATTGAACAAATATGAAATTACAAATAAAAATTTAATAAATTACAACACATTGATGAGGATCAAATGAAATAATTTTAAATTGTGATATTGAAATAATACAAAAAAGTACTAAATTATACCCATTTAAAAAGTTATGGGCCAATTTAAAAATAGAAATAAGTAATAAGTATGGGTCAATTTCATATGCAAATAAAATTTGGAGGACTAAATTGAATAAATATGAAATTAAAAAATTTAAATATATTAAACAACACAAAAGGGATCAAATCGAAATAATTTTAAATTTTGAGGTTAAAATTAATACAAAAAATACTAATTATACCCATTTAAAAAGTATGGCCAATTTAAAAATAGAAATAAGTAATAAGTAGGGTCAATTTCAGGTGCAAATAAAATTGGAGGACTAAATTGAATAAATATGAAATTACATATAAAAATTTAATATTAAACAACACAAAGGGATCAAATCGAAATAATTTAAAATTTTGAGGTTGAAATTAATACAAAAATGTACTAAATTATACTCTTTAAAAAGTTAGGACCAATTAATAAATATAAATAAGTAATAAGTTGAGAAAAAAATTAAACAACTAATATATATATAATATAAACTATATAATTTATATAAATATGTATATATATAACTAATAGTTTATATATTATGTATAAAGTATAAACTATATATATCATGTATAAACTATAATACTATATAGTTATATATGAACTAAGAACTATATAGAAACTACATAGTTATATATAAATTTATATGAATTATATATAAACTATATAATTTATATTATATATTATGTATAATTATAAATAATATATTGTATAAATTATATAGTTTATTAATATAAATTATATTGTTATATATATATATATATATATATAGGGCTTATATTTATATTTATATAAACTACATACTATAATTTATATTTATATACTATATTTTATACTATTATATAAACTATAGTTTATATTTATATAATATATGAACTATAGTTTACATATAAACTATATAGTTTATATACTAACTATAGTTTACATTAACTATATATATAAACTATAGTTTACATATGACCTATATATACTATTTAGTATATATAAACTATAAATATATATAGACTATATGGTATATATAATCTATACATTATATATAGTTCATTAGTATATATGAACTATATATTATATAGTTCATTAGTATATATAACCTATATAGTATATGATATATACAAACTATATAGTATATAGTTCATTAGTATATAAACTATATATATATATAAACTATATTATTTATTAATATAAACATATATATTAATTGAAAGAATTGAAAAATATATAAGGATCAAATTGAACAAATTTTAAATATGAAGCTTAAATTAATAAATTATAACATTAAATTTGGATTAAATTGAAAAAGTTGAAATATGAAGCTTAAATTAATATATTAAATCATTAAATTTGGACTAAATTAAATAAATTTAAAACTAAGAGACAACACTACAATATCAAATGAAGTTAAAAAACACGCGAGTTTTCTCACTCGTTTAAGCCACAAGGCTACGCCAACTGTGGCGCCAAAATCAGCATCATTTCCGGCCTGATGATTTTAACATAACCATGGCTTCCGATTCTTCTCCAAAATCAGCATCATTTACACTCGTGGTCTCCGTCAAGCCTTAACTCCTTCCTCTGCCGCCGCAACGCCACCTCCAAATCCTTCTCGTTTTTCCAATTCGGTAACTACCCCAACTCCATCCCAGTCCACCATGCGTGGGCACCGCACAACCACTTCCCCGACTCCTATTGCTGGCTGTTTTAATGTTTCTTCCCGCTCTTATTTACAAGGTGATTATGGACTCGAGTATCACGTATCAATCACTTTGCAACTTTTTTGCTCCTTCGTTATGGACTTATGGTAGTTGTTTGCTTAGATATTATATTGACTTCATCTGATCTTGTTTCCAGCCACAATTTCTTGATCTAGCATTTGGTGCAGCTTTGGCTGTTTTCTTGGTGTTAGAAATTATTCGAGTAAGTTGGCTAAACCTTCGGATATTTTGTAGATGTTGACAATTTATCAAGTAATCATGTTGAGTGAAGTTGCTATACTTTGTCCAAGTGTTAACTCGTTAAGCATTTTAAAGGATGTTATTTTCGCGAGCATAACAACAATTAATAACCATATTGTAATGATTACAATATACAGGCTATGTTTATGTTCTCAAATGTACTGGAGAAGTGCTCCTTTTTTTAGAAGTTTCTTGGTTCATGTTGCTGAATCTTTCCTTTGTAGCCAGGTTTGGAGAATTTGGCCTTTAGGGCATCCTGTACATCAGTTTATGAGTGCCTTTACAGATCATCGTGACTCGGATCTTATTATTGTCAGGTATTACATTTTGTCCATTAGTGGAAATTAATATGCATATAATTATTTCAAGCAATTACAATTAAGGTCCATTTTTTACTCGTGTAGCCACTTTTCACTCTTGTTGGGATGTGCACTTCCTATCTGGATGTCCTCTGGGTTTAGTGATCGACCTCTTACCCCTTTTACTGGAATTTTAACCATTGGAATTGGAGAAACAATGGTAAGTTTGCTTATTTTTGCCTTTGGGGCCTAAATTTATTGGATTTGTTATTTTCTACCATGTCTTCCGCCTCCCTTTCCGATAATTTTTCTAGCAGGCCCTTAACCTTTTTTAATAAAGTTTATGAACTAAAATTTGGCTTTTGAACTAAAATTTTATGCAATTTTCCACTTGGATTTTCCCAGTATCAAATGACTAACAGTGTTAACATCCCATTCAAACTCTGCCAATGTTTTTAAACCTGGACAAGCATTATGAACCCCATGGGAGTCCAACTTATGAACCAAGCCATTCCAGAAAGAGAGAGATGGGTGTAATCTTAGGCGCTTCGCTATTTTTTTTGTATTAAGGATTAAAAAACCAACATCACTCCACCAGTAGTGCCGTTATGAACCCCATGGGAGTCCAACTTATGATGGCTGTATTACAGAATAATCTGAAACAGTGGATAATTGAGAACTAGTTGAGGTATAAATATGAAAGAGTCTACAAAGTGATAGAATTGGCTTCTTGCCTGTTACTCCTGCCAAGTGGCTCATAAAGTTGTAATCATCTTGCTTTTATGCTAGGCATCAATGGTTGGCCATAAGTATGGTGTCCTTAGGTGGAGCAAAACTGGCAGTAAGGATTTTCCTGTCTTGCTTTCTTTCTGTCTACTTTGATTATTTTTTAATGTTTAAGCTTTCCTTTGAGGAGATACCTGCTAATTCTAGCAAATTTCTTACACTTTAGAGAAAACTATTGAAGGCACTTCAACTGGTATAGCATCTGTCCTCGCTGCTTGCTTGGTTCTGGTTCCACTTTTGGCATCCACTGGATACATTCTAACTCAGGTTTCTCTCTCTGTCTCTCTCTCACCCACCACATACGCACACTGACATTCTTATGTTGACTGAGTTATTCATCATTAGCACATCTGTGGTAACTTAGCCTGGAATGAATTTGTTCACTTAAACACCCTATGTGGGTACTTCAGGTTGTTTATTTATTTTTTTCTTCTCGTTTTCTTTTAAATGATCTTGTTAAGTTGTTCGAATTAGTTTCGTGGGCCTAATTGAGTGTTTGGATTATTGTTACATTGCAAATATTTGATTACGTAAATCTCAATTTCCACAGCACTGGCTCCCTGTTTTAATAGCTGTGACCACAAGCGGTCTGTTGGAGGCCTACGCAACGCAACTTGATAATGCTTTTATACCACTTGTCTTCTACAGCCTCCTTTGTTTGTAAATGCACACTTCAACCTTCCAGAAAGCTTAAACAGGTGATAATTCCTTACACGCTTCCATCTAGAGGTTTTTTCTTTTTTATTCTTTAATAGATATTACTAACCGCCATCAGGGAATACAGAGAGTCTGTTGCATACCATTCCCATTGTAGTTTCAAAGTAATCCAGAATTGCTCGTAAGATGAGCCTAATGTTTTATACTTTGTTGGACTTGGCAGTTATGAGCCCTCAAAAAGGGGTAAGAATGTTTAATGTTAAGCTGTCTTTCTGATCTGATTCTAACATTTGGTGTTAATGAAATTGCAGTCCTTTGTATAACTCGAGAGTTGTGCTTCGACAACTTACTAGTGCTCAAGCTCAACATAGGGGAAGGAGTGCAATTGAGGTCTGTGCAGCAATCGGTGTAATTTTTTACCCCAAAGTTCAGTCTCTTTTTGTGTTTAATGTTGATGCCTTATGTTTGAATTTATTGCAGGTGTTGAAAAAGCTTGTTGATCGCAGAATCCTCTACCATTCTTACTCCATGCAAGTTTATGGTTATGTATCATCACAAAAAAGTGGCAGTCATAGCTCATTAACTCTTGTCTATGGGGTAAGCCCTTTATATCCATTTAACTCTTTAGTACTATTCTTTTTCATGTATAATGCGTCATCTATCCGTGCTTCCTCCCTGACTCTGTTGTTTTGCCTTTGAGGCTTGTATACCAATACAAACAACTCCCTTCTGTACTTCTTCTGAGTGGGTTAAAACTATTTTTTTTTATGTTTTTATATATACATGTTTTGCAGTACCATGCTATCTTTTCATTAAGACACTGGCTTCAGCAACCCAATTGGCTTCCAACTTTAGAAGCAACTCTTGCATTGGATGAAGAGTCTGTCAGGAGGGTAGGAGATGACTCGGTTAGGGGACCAACAGTTTCTCGTAAGTTGAGGCTTATTAGAATATTGATGAGAGACCTCGCTATCAATTAGGTTACACCATCAATTTGTGAGGTCTTTTCTTGTGGATAAAACTGGTAGACTCGGTGTTATATGTGTTTGTATAGATAGGAATTGGTAGAACAATGAGAACTCTTTGATCTAATTCTAATATGATGATGAAAGTTTTACATAAAAAATTCCTATCATTTACTTTTTTACGGTATTACATGTGGTAGTATAGAAAGTGGGCATTAAAAGATGTGTACTCTCTGTTTTTCATCATTTCTCCAACTATAAATCATCCTTCAAATATTTCACTTTTCTTTGTCTTCAATCTTTTATTCCTTATAGTTTTTTCTCTTACAAGATAAGCTAAAATCAAAATGAACTTGGGTTAGTCATTTAGTCTCCCAGTTTCATTCACATTGTTAAAGTTAGGTTATGGGTTGTGGGCCTTTTCCTTATAGTTTTTACTTTATTTTTCTAATTTAGAGGCTCAAGTTATTTTATATAATATTATTTTTTATATAAATTAAACTATATAATTTATATAAATTAAAATATATTAATTTTTCTTTGTATTATTAATAATGTTTTATCTAATTTACATTTAAATAATTTTATTAAATAATTTTATATAATAGGTCTATTTATTAATATAATTATCATAATAATTATTTTATTATAATATTTAAAAAGTAATCATATTAATATTTTAATTACATCATAAGCTAAAAAACTTATAATTTTATTAAAATCTTATAATTTTGTCCATGGTAATATATAAGTCAAGTAAATATCAGATCAGATCATTAACAAGTCGGATCATTTACAGGTCAGGTTAAAAACAGGCCAGGTTGAAAACATGTTAGGTTAAAAACAGGTCGGTTAATACCAATTATTTACCAAGTCAATCTCGGGTTCATGTTCATATCAGTCGGATGCAGTTCGAGTTCGGGTATCAAATTTTCGGTTCAATTCGGGTTCAAGTCGTTCTCAAGTCGGATGCAGGTCAGGTTCGGATCCACAATTTCCAAGTCCAAATCGGGTTCAGGTCACTACCAATTCCGACTCGAGTCGGTTTCGGATCGCCACAGTGCAGGTCAAAAACAGTTTTGACTCAAGTCAGTTTCAGTCAGTTTTGCAGGTCGGGTCAACTTTTTACAGCCTTAGCTATGGCATTCCAAGGAACGTTGCATACCTCATCAATCATAGGTAAGAACTAGTAGCAGGCTGGCTGGAGTATGTTTACTTCTTTACCCTGAATTAGAACAAAAAAACAACTTGAAGGTAAAATATAAAGCCTTGTGTGAAGAGATTTGAAGCGTTAGACCTGCTTATCAGTAGATGTAATGCAGTTAGAGTAATCATCGGAAGATTGCCTAACAGGAACCATGATGTCCATTCCATGGCTTCCCGCATAATTTAGCTCTGTTACTCCTACAAACTCATATACCTGAATAAACAAAGAGGCAATTGTAAATATAAAAAACAGTGCCAACAAAGTTATCAAAATTTGTCAAAACCATGCTCTTCAAATCACCTTGTCACGGCTTCTGCCACTAATTATTGCCGTTGGGAAGCATTTTGCCACGTTTTTCAATGCAGCTCGAATCTGAAAAAAACATTTTGGCTTAGTATGTCGGAAAAAAGTGATATATTTCACTAAAATTTTCTCAAAGTATCCCGAAAAGCCGGTAAAATCGATCAAATGAGACATTGGAAAAAAACTGGCTCGTGTAGAATGGTGGAAGGAAATATTTTTTGAGATGCGGGGATTGTTATAGCGCCGAAGAAGACGCATAGATCATCTAAGGTTTTCCTCATATTTCATGCAATTGAAATGCCAAGGTTAACGAAGTAGCAAAGAAGAAGACGCTTGGTACTTGTTGCATCTTCCAAAATATGCATCGTGATCCAAACTTTTTTTAGTAGCACTATAGCAATTACACCATCTAAGAGAATATTTCTCCCACCACTATATACAAGCCATTATTTTTTTTCAACGCCCCATTTGATCAATTTTGCCCAGACAAGCAATTCTTACATCATGAGACATAAAGGCACAATCCGGATTGTCCACAATTGGTGAAAGAGTGCCATCATAATCCAGAAACAGTGCTATTCTCTTCTGCTCAGCAAAGTCTGTGATTTTCTGAAATGATGCGAGTGCGGAAGGATATTCAAGCTGCAAAGGAAAAGAAAAGTACATTCTAAAAATCAATAACCCCTTTATTTGTATCAAAATTAAACTCATATATAAGTGAAGAATATCTACTACCAGCCATGTAGTATAAGCAACATCCGTATCATTTGATACAGGGTGATTGCTGAAATCCATGGACTTGTTATGAGGAGGGGATGAGGATTCCATAGAATCCAGGCAGTTGTTGGCATGAATATCAGTAATTCCAGCTTTCATCCTAGGAACACAAGCGGGTTCTTGAGTATTGCAACACACCAGAAGGTACTCGTAATCTTGACTTGGTTAGTGGTGGATCGGTAAGAACAGAAGCAGTGTGGTTGGATTTCATGTCCATTGAATCCAGCCTCAGATCACTACTCAAAACGTAAAACCTGCCAGATTCCTTAGCAGATGATTCTTTATATTGATGCTCAATCTCAAACTATTGTTTTCAGCTAATACTTTTATCAATAAAGAACCACCTCTTCAATGTTTTCTTATCACTGCTGTTCAGCAAGCAGTCCATCAAGCTCATGAGTCCAAAATTCTACTATCAAAAGGAAGCACAAGGCCATATCATTATTTTCAAAAGATACAGAAATTTGAACTGAACCCGTTCATCTCTCAAGGCC